GGTTTTTCCTTGCCTGGGAGGGGGTGGGTGTTGTGTTGGGGGAGGGAAAACAACCCATATCTTATGGATATTTATGGTAGCATGGTCGATCTGCGGCGGGTAATAGCAACATTTTATAAACAACTTATTTCCTTAATTGATTGTTAACAATGATTGCCCGCCGATGAGAGGCCCCAAGCGAAGCCCCAAGTGGATGCCACACTTCTTTCACACTGCAGCAAAGAGGCAGCAGCAGAGTCTGTGCTGCTGATGCTGCTGCTGACGTTGTATCTATTAACCACGCACTCCATTATTATTTAATAACATATTTCTTAAGTATCTGCCAACCCAGTTCATGGCACAAAACGAGGCTCTGGCTCTTGGACCTCCTCTCTCTCTCTCTCTCTCTTGACCATCATAATTTGTGGGCCTGTGCCTCATAGCAGCGGCAGCAGCAGCAGCAGCCAGGCAACGTTCGACGACTCGTCGTCGTTCAAAGTGATTGCCACCCCATTAAAAAAACGGCTGCGCCTTCCACTAGCATTCTGCAGAGGAGCTCCTGCCACTACCACGACGACGATCACTCAATAAGTCTAGACGAAAGATGTGGTGGTACCTGTACAGGGGTACCCCTGTGATTGTCGCTGTCCATAGAAGCAGTCGGGTAGGGGTGGGGAGGGAGTGCTCTGGCTGCCGTAATGGATCAGCACGTTGCCAGAGCCCCACAGACGCCTGCCTGCCTGCCTGGCCTGCCTTTCAGACGTCATCAGCCACACAATAATAACACGAACAGCCTGCTAGCCCCTGCCACTGTCCCATCCCGTGCCGTTCCAATCATTCAGCCATCCATCCAGCATCCATCCTTTCAGCTCAGCCATCCTCGGGACCAACCATTGGAGGAACCCCATCATATTTGTTGCATGATTATGTGGTAATTGCGGCTGTCAATAAAACTCCCCCGTTTTCATTCTTTTCATAACCGAAAGAGCAGCATATTCTACATCGCGATACATACAGATACAGCTACAGCTACATACATATGTATCTACTCGTATTTATCCACAGATACTCGTACATATACAGATCGCAGATGGATTCTGTTCGCCTTTTTCCTATGATTTACTTTGACAAAGGAGTGACATCCCAAGTACTTAAGTGATTTCTTTGTGGAGTAGTTAATGTGTGTGTGTGTATGGGTGTGTGAACATGGTATGCGCCAAGTCATGCCAGTCAGCCCCGTCCCCCCTCTCCTACTCCACTTTATACCCAATTCATGAGGGCACCCACAAAAACCACAAAAAAACCATGCCCCTTGGAGCACTTAGCGGCGTTTAGGCGCTGGCTGCGGCTGTGGCTGCGGCTTTTGTGCCGCTCGTTCTTCCCCCCTGGGAATATGAAATGGAACGATCTTCATGAGCTTCAGGGCTTTACTTTTTTGTGTGGATCAGATCACTCGGGGATAAATATATGTAAATCTCAAGTGGAAGAGCTACTTGATCAGCGTTTTGGGTACCTTTGGGAGCCACTCGATGGGGTGTCATTATGCCCTTTAAAAGGGACCCATCTATTGAAGGGCTTTAAAATGGAGAATGGAAAGCACTTTCCTACGAAGGAACAGACTGTTCTATGAATGAAATGTCCCTGAAATATAAATCTTTTCGTGGAGAAAAAAAGAAATCATAAGGAATTAAAACTAATACAAAATCTGTATTTAAATTAAATATACGGTTTTTAAGTACCAAAATAGTTAAATTAAATAAATGTCAGTTTTATTCAAAAGTATTTTTAGCATGGAAAATATTAAATCTAAAAATAAACCACTTTAAAAATAAATGTAATAATTAAATTTCTGGATATTATATTTAACGTCAAAATTTAAATATTTTAAATAGGAATTCAAAAATAAAAAATGAAATTAATTAATTTAAATATAAAATATGTTTAATTTTATTATTTTAGTATTTGTTTCCTTCTTTATACCATTTTTCCTCTTTTAGAAAATTTATTGGTATAAATTTAATAATTTCAGTACAAGTTTATAATTAAGTGATTTTCTCTCTGGGTATAGCAAATGGTAGAGGGGGCCATAGGAACTTTATCCAGAAGTAGCTGCCACAGCAGCAATTCCTAATGAAATTGTGCCCTAAACTGCCAACAAAGTGTCTACAATTTTGAATCAATTTACCTATTCGAATCGTTTTGATAACTCTTTCTTGTTTGCTGTGGCCATAAGCTAACAATTTCCGTTCCATTTGTGGCAACTGTTAACCCAATTGCCGACCGACCGACCGATCGACCCCCAAGGCGGCGACTGCCACAGATAGTGGGCGTGTGTTATGTGTATGCTTGTTAGATTGTTGCAACGCTTTCAACGCCAGGCCCCGGCAATCTCCAGCAATCCCCAGCAATCCCCAATTCAAGCGTTTAGTCTGCGCGTTTCGTTTAGGTGTTAAATATTGAGGGGTCTGGCGATGGGCTCTTTTTGCTTCCTTTTCATGCCACACACATCCATTTGGGAGTTCCAGCAGAGTGTTGTAGGTGTTTTGTAGGTGCGGAAAGTGGTCCACTGGATACAGATACAGATTAGGGTTGGGTATACTGCCTGACTGACTGACTGACTGCCTGGCTGCCTGCCTGCCTGCGTTTTCTCCCAACGCGTCGGCAGTGAGTGGGTAGCAAATAAAAGCGCCACAAAAAAAAATACACTTAATGCATTTGGAGCACACACAAACAGCCCCATATAAATGGGAGCTTCAATGTCTCTAAGATTGGGTGCGTCTTCGCCAGAGCATCATCATCATCATCTATGATGATCATCATCTGTATGTCTGCCTGTCTCTGTCTCTGTGGTAGAGCTTGTTAGCTGCTGCTGCTGTGACTGCTGGCTGGGTGTTGGCCAATCTTTAAAGATCAAACAATAAACCTAAAGATCTTCTGGTTCTTTTTCTCTCTCTCTCTTCTGTCTGTCTCTTTTCCGTCTCTTTGGGGGCATGCAAATTGTGCAGCTTGCCGCAGAAAAAAAGTGTCAAACAATGTCAGTGGGAGAATGTGTCTCGCAATTGAAATTTATTTGCACTACAATTCACTGCTGACAATCCGAGGAGAGGCAGGCACTGCCACTGAACGCTGAACACTGCCTCTGGCACTTGGACTACTACTCGTACTCGGTCGGTACCTTCTGCTTTCCCTCTCCTTTTACCATATCAATACTAAGCCAAGCCAAAGCCCAAATTCAAACCCTGCTGCCGCCTGCCGCCTGCTGCCTGCTGCCTCTTTGCCAAAAAGTCACAGTCGGAGGCTAGCGATCTCTAACCCGTCAACTCGTCAAGCTGTGAGCGTCAATCCACCAACAACAGTCGACGACGACGGCGGCCAAGCCTGCCTTGAAGAGTACACTGAGAGATAGTGGGCAATAAAGGGGAATCATTTGTTTCTGGAGATACTAGGACTTAATGATTTCATTTATTCTTGTAGCTAAAGAAAATCTTTTAAAAAACATTTTTTAATTAATAAAAACTTTATTTTCTACAATTTTCTCAAGCTTTAGTTCGTAAAATGATCTACCGAAAATTTCATTCTAAATATATTTTATAGAGTGTATTTAGTCTGTTTATGGATTCTTTATCCAGAATTAATTAATTACTTTATTTTTATTTATTTTGTTTATGGATTAGTTTTACAGAATTTCTATAATAAAGATACATTTAAGGGTAGATATTTGCATTATTGTTGCTTTTGTTGTTTGATTTCTGTCAGTGATTGATTGAAACGAAACCTCATTCATGAGGCCCATAGCCCAGAAGGCAGGCAGGCAGAGGCAGTCAACATCGTCAGGCAGTCAGTCGGGGGGCATCGTTTTGTCGCTTGGAATCGCGCTCACAGCTTCTGTGCTTCTTTGCTTCTGTGATTTTGCCAATTGGCAATTGCTGCTGCTGGTGCTGGTGCTGGGGCTGCTGCTGCTGCCTCCACCGTTGTGGATCGTTGTGGATCGTTGCCTCCTCTCGCTGTGACTGTGACTCCTCTTTGGATCTGTTGGAGTGCTGTGAGCATTTGCAAAATGTCAATCTGGTGCTGTGCATCAATTCAAGTGTGAAATAAATACGAAACGAAAACGAATTCAGGTCCCAAAGATCTCCTAGCATTTTGCTATAATTTTCACGCCATTTGCTGTTGAGCTTTGGGGCTGTCTCTCTGTCTGTCTCGCAGTCTGTCTGTCTGTTGGGAGACGTTGCAACGTTTTCAGGAGAAGCTATGTTGAAAGTATTTACAATTACGCAAAGATTGATTGAAATAGATTTCGGATTGATTGGCTGCTGCTGCTAGCTGGCTGGCTGGCTGGCTGGCTGGCTGGTATGCACAATCTCACATTGAGCAGGAGACAGGAGTGGAGAGTTCTCGTTCGGTTCGTGGGAAATGTTGTTTGTGTGAAAGAAAGAGGAGCTCAGCATCGCCTTTTCTCTCTCTAATTAAGCTGCTGCCTACTGTTACTGCTGCTGTGTATCTTCTTCCTCTGCTTTATGTGACACATTTGTCCATTAGATACATTTTTATTGATCATCGCCGCAGGAGTCTGAGAAATCAACTTTCTCTGCCGCTGAGATCTCTCCCCGTCCATAGATCGATTGGTTTTTGTTTCATCTAAATATTTATTCGTATTTATTTGTGGATTTTTTATCGGATCATTTGCATACGAAAATAATCACAAGAAAAGTAGGGAGACAATACAATATAATTTATGCTATTTTCTATACAATTTTGAAATTAATAATTAATTATTAAACTACGTTTAAAAATTTGCTAATTTGTGACTAACAAAAACTCAAAAAGCGAAACTTTAACGAGCCTTAAGCGAACCTTTAAGGGAGCCTTAGGGGAACCTTAAGCGAACATTAAGAGAACCTTAAGGAAAGGCCAGTAAAATTCACTTTCAAAATTCATCTAAAACAAAAGATTAAAATGTTTTTTAAACTATTAAATACTCTTCGGGGGATTTAAATACATGCGCACATGTATCTATGTATCTATGTATCTATGCATCTATGGGGGACACTAGATCTAAATGTCTAAAATATTATAACTTTATATATGGTTTATAGCAAAAACTTATGATATCTACAAATTCCACTAAGATATTATGCATACACAAAGATATACAGAAACAGATTCAGATACAGATACAGATACATTTAGGCGGCATATATTTTGCTACAGTTACAATTTTTCGATTTTTTTTTTTTTCTTTTTTTTTTGTTGTGCCTTTAATTTATTCGAAACCGAAAAATTTGTTTATAATTCCAAACTCTGAATAAAATTATGAAACGTGTGTTATACATTTTGTTGTTGTTTGTTTCTATGCAAATATATATACATACATCTGCGGATTGTCTGTGGCGTTGCGGGGTCTCCCGTCTGCCGTCTGCCGTTTGCATATTTTGGCAATTTGGTTAGTTGTTTTAAACGATGTGATAACATCTCAAAGAAAACGATCTCTCAAACGGCACGAACTTGTATTTTTAGGCGCGAGTGTTAATCAGAAGCGAAGACCCTCTCCAAGACCCTCCCTGCTCGCGACACAGAAGAGATTATTCCATCTAGATCGGAGTTCTTTATGCGTTGATCGATCGATGCCCCCCTACTACACCTTTGTGGTTAGATCCAAAGCCAATGCCTTGACGGCTGACGCCTCCGACAGACGCAAGCGCTTGCCGCTGGATGCCTCTTCGATGAGTTCGTCCAGTTTCCGTTTGATCGTATCACTGGCCTCATTATCACTTAAACTATTTATACTATTATTATTTGTATTATTGTTTTTGTTTTTATTGTTGTTGTTGTTGTTACTGCTGATACTGTTGTTGTTGTTGTTGTTATTGTTGTTGTGGGTCTGCTTTTTCTGCTCCTCTTTTGCAACTGCAACTGCATCTGCATCCTCCTTCTCTTCTTCTGGCGTTACTTTCACATCCTTTTCGGCAACCTCCTCGTCCTCCTCCTCCTCTTCTATCCTTTCCGATCGATCGCTGGGTATCTCTGGCGGGTCCTCCACTTCGTTGGCCGACATCTCCTGTGGCTCCACATCGATGTCCTGGCAACTGCTTTTGCTGCTCAAAGAACTGCCCGTGGTCTTCATACTCAGATCAATGGGATTATCCTGAGCCACAGATGGTGGCAGTTCCTGTTCTGCTTCCTGTTGTTCCTGCTGCTGCTGTGCTGGCGAATGCGGCGGCGTCATGGACACCACTAGATCTTCCTCCTCCTCTTCATCCTCCTCCCCCTCTGTTTCATCGACCAACTCCTCTTTATCACTTGTATCCTCTCTCGCAATATCCTCCGCCTCCTCCCCCTCCCCCTCCCGACCACCATTGCTTTGCCTGCTCTTGACCCGCGAGTGGCTGCCGCCGCTCTCTGAGTTGGGGGTGACCAAGGCGGAGATGGAATAATCCTGTTTGCTGTGCTGCAGCGGCGCCAGTTTCGTGGCCATTGGCGGGGGACTTCCATGCTGCTGCGACTTGAGCACGGCATCCAGATAGAAGCGTTTGGTCAGCTCATCCGCCGCTGCCGCTGCCGACACTTCCTTGCCGCCATTGGCCAAGATGTGGTGCTGGTGCTGGTTCTGGTGCTGGTTCTGGTGCTGGTTCTGGCTGTTGCTGTGGTTGTGCAGGTGTCCAGGTGGCGCCTCCTCCTCCCCCTTGTGATGCAGCGCATGATGATTCACAAACGGCGAGGACGAGGCTGTCGGCGCAAAGCCGCGCTGACCCGCGGCGCTGCTCGAATTGAAGAGATGCTGGACGGCTGCCGCTGCCACGGCGGCGTGCTGCTGCTGCTGCTCGGGCGTGGGCTTCAGCAGGCCCTGATGATGCTGATAGAGGGCGGGATGGTAGCCGGGGAAGAGGAGATGCGAGGGCGGCAGGAAGGCGGGCGGCGGCATCACAGACATCGACCCAAGGCCGGGAAACGACAGGGGCAGGTGGAACGGTGGCAGATCCTTGCGCTGCAACTGTGGCGGCCTGCCCGGCGCCGTGCTCGAAGATTGGCTGACATCCCCCCCGGGCGTGGAGGAGGAGCCTCCACCGCCACCGCCACCGCTGAGGCTGCTGGCATTCGACTTGGATCCCAAATGGAGCAGGGGATTGCCCCTTACACTCACTTCCACGGAGCTGTCGGAGTTGTGGGAGTCGGGAGAGCTGACGGACGGCGAGGCCACCACCGAGGGATGCTTCAGCATGCCGTAGTCGCCGCTGGCCTCCAGGCCCAGCATCATGAGCTCCTCCTTCGTGCGGGGACCCCCACCGCCAGCTGCGGCGGCTGCATAGAGTCCCGGATATCCGCCGGGATGTCCGAGCATCCCCAGAGCGGCAGCCGCAGCCGCTGAACCCTGGCCGGACATGCCCTTCACGCCGTTTGGCATGCCGCCCATGCCACCAGGGCCGCCGCTCGGTCCACCGCCGCCCGCCTGCTGGCTGTTGTGATGCGCTGCCATGGCGGCCACCGCCTGCTGCTGCTGCTCCTGCAGCAGGCAGTGGATCTTGAACCAGTTGGAGCGACGGCCGTAGCGGGAGCCGCTCTTGGACATACCCACCATGAGGCACTTCTTCAGGCGGCACGCCTTGCAGGCGGTGCGGTTCTTCTTGTTGATGATGCACTCCCCATTGTTCTTGCAGTCCGAAATCGATGACAGGTTGTTGTACGAGCGGCCAAAGAAGGACTGCAAACGAAAGAGCAGATAAGTGGGAGGTTAATGAGCGGCTTGCCACAAGGTTTCTGTAGGTTAAACCCCCCTAAAAATTGTTATTTTATTTAGCTGTGAAGGCGCCAACTGTCTCTCCCGTCCCTCTTATCAATGGCTTCCCTTGCTGCACACTCCATTCGCGGAACCCTCTGCTGCCAGGCCATGATGTCATTGAATGCTCCCCAACAATAATATCTCATTAAATTTTTGTGATGATTCATCGATGGCTGAGGCTGGTGGTTCACATGGAGAGACCTGAGACCTGAGATCCATCAACAAAGGAGAAACAGCAACCACCTACACCTAAAGCGGGCACCAGTGCAGCACCAGCATTAACCGTTTGGCTGGGGCACCACAACCACCACCACCACCACCAGCACCACGACAATCAATTGGCAACAAAGCAAACAAACAATTTAATTCAATGCGGAGGAGAGCCATGAAGCCATGAAAACAGACGAAACATGTTGCTGCTGCTCCTGCTGCTAGCTGCTGCTAGCTGCTGCTTGTTGTTCGTTTCGCGCGCAGCATGTTGCAAAGGTTATGGCTGTGCAACACTTATGCCAAGTTGCAATGTTGGCAGTAAATCACCAAAACGAACGCTTCACTGCACCGCTGCCTCCCAGTCTGCCCTGCCTCCCGCCCTGGCTTTGCAATCAACCAAAACAAAACAAAACAGAAAAGAAAAGAAAAATAGGGGGACAGACAGACAGACTAAACGACTAAATGAATGACTGGCGGAGTGACTCTCTGACTCCTCCGACTGTCTGTCATTCTGCAGTCGTTCGTAGGTGGAGCTGTTCTCTTCAATGGAGGAAACATTTGAGGCTGAGGCTGAGGCTGAGGCTGTGTCTGCTCTTCTGTTGCTCTGAAGAAACACAGATACAGTAAAAAAAAACAACAAAAAAACAATGCGAAAATCCACTTTTAAGGTTAATTGGGCATCAAGATTACTGGGTCGGAAATGGAAATGGAAACGGAGTAGAGGAGTTTTCAGTTTCGTTTCAAAAAAGTAGCAGCAAAACGAAAACAACAACAAAAACAACAAAAACACTGGCAGTAAGACCAACCGGACAGACAGAACCGACTATTTACAAGCAATTTACTGTGCATCCAAGGCAGATTCACTTTTGTTTGTTTTTGCTGTCTTTGGTTCCGTTGTTTTGTTGTTGCTGTACCCCTCCGTGGGGGGGTGGGGGTGTATGCCTTCTTTTCTTGTGGGCGTTAAATTAGCCAAGCGGCAGAGGCCCCCACGCCATCAGCGAACGAGTAGAGGCCTAACACACAAATCAAATAATGCTGACCTACAAATTGTACGTTAGTTGACCTTTTCTCCTTGGCGTGGGCACAGATCTCGCAAGTCGCTCTGCCCTGCTCTGCTCTCTGCTCTCTGCGATTCGAAAACGAAACGAAACGAAACGGAGATCAGAAAATGATCATCCCACCATTAAAGGAGTATTTCGTTCGTATTTAAATCAATTATTTGTGGGGCGCTTTGTTTAACTTTGACCTTAGCCTGGGGCCATCCATTTGTTACTCCCATGCCCCGACGCCCCCTACCCTTCTCCACCTCTCTCTCTCTCTTGCTCATTGATGGACTCAACATTCCTAGTACAGCTCCAAGGGGCGAAGCAGGAGGACGGGGAAGAATGGCCTCATAACTCTGTTGCTGTTTTGTTGCCTAAGCGGTTTTTTTTTTTTTGCATCACGAAGGCGGCGGCTGTGTCTGCCAATTCGATTTATTTGAGTCACAAATGGCATCGATTGATATGCGAAAAAACTTTTGACCAGCCAGGAAAAGCAATAAAGGTTCAAACTGTGCTGAAGCTATCGATAAATTATCGATTTACAAATATATATTGGGCATTATCTATTGAGTTTATAATTTTTAAAAATAAGCTTGAAATATAAAAATAAAGTTAATCGATAAGTTATCGCTTAAAAAAATAATTAAATAATTTAATATTCAACCCTGTTTTAGCTATTTTCCACACAGTCACGGAATAACTAGCAAAATACCGCCTGCATTATGTAATCCATTTCTGAAAAGTTATTCATCCCTTACCGCCTCAATTTTCCCACATCAACTCGTTACATTTTCGTTATCGATAACCGATAATAACTCACCTTGCAGCCCTCGCAGGTGAATGCACCAAAATGGAATCCAGCTGCCGGCTCTCCGCACACCTTGCACGTCTGATTCATCTGCAATGAGAACAACGAGAACACAAACAACATGAGAATGGGCTAAGAAATACAATCGTAGAAATATTTGTGTATCATTGGGGGAGCTCTGTAGCCCGCCAAAGAGAAGGATTCCCAGTTCCCAGATCATTCGCAACTCCACTTTCCACTCCCACCTACAAGAATCCAGCTTCAATCCAATGGAAAAACTAAGGCAATAAATTCATAAAATTTCAATTAAAAGCAACAGCAAATCATGACACGAGCATCTAGAGCTGCAACCCCGATTGCCCCTCCAATTCCCAGATGGCTCCTTGGAGCAGCGAGCCGCTAGCGAAATTCACACGCATTAAAAATTAAAATGCAAACATAGTTTGTCATATCGGGGAATTGGTATCAAACGAAAAACGAACGACGACAAATGGAAATGGGGAAACGACAGCGGCCCCCAAAAGGAGGACTCAGCTATGGACCCCATGGACCCAGCCCGAGCCCGAGCCCAGCACTCGGCCTGGCCATGAACTCCACAGCAAAGACATAGAAGACTCCTCTCTTGGGGCCCCATAATAAAATATGAAGATGGAATCAAATGAAAAATTGCCCCAGAGCACACACACACTCCACAGCAGACAGAGAGAGAGTGAGCGAGCGAGAGAGGGAGGGAGGTAGGGAATGAGACGTTGAGCAAACAAGCAACATTTGCATTTATATGGCTATGGTCTGCTACCTCCCTCCCTCCCACCATTCCCCATCTCTTGTGGCCTAGGGAATATTTGTTTATTTATTGCGAGCGAAATGTTTATCAACAAATTGCCATCAATTGTTGTTTTGTGGTGAGCCTGGGCCTCCAGCCTGGTGTCGGGGGTCTCCCTCTTGCCGTTTTTCCAGTTGTTTTGGGTTGGGAATGGCCGTTGCGTTTTCCTTATTGCCACTTGTAGCCGGGTAACTGGAGCACAGCACCAAAAACTTTTGATGACACGCGCACATGCAATAGGAGGCAGGGTGCCGCAGTGAGAGGCAGGGAACAGCAGGCAGGGATAAAGGCAGGTGGTGATCGTGGGAGACTCTTGGGGGAAAGGTTTGTTAAAATGTTTTTTTGTTTTTTCGGCAGTTTCTTATGGGGTTTAAGGTAAAACGAGGGTATGATCTTGCTTTAGGGAAGAGTCGAATCACTTAGATAAATGTTGTACGGATTTTTGTAGGGAAGGGAATTTTTTCTAGAGAGTTATCCGCTCTGAGAATCAATATAGGAACGTTTTTCTATCACTAATCAAAGGATCTTTATTTATTGGAATCATACCCTAATGCTCCGCAGCCTTAAATGTAGCCTCATAATTGAATCGAAAGTGTAATTATTAATGAAAAAAAAAATCCCAGCTGATTTATTGAAATAGATGTTGCCATATATCAATCCCAATGAACCAATTGAAACCACTGGAGGAACAATCTCCTGCCAGCCAACAAGTAGCTCCCTCTCTGGACACCTTGCCGCACTGGGATGAATGTTTTATGGCTCCAATTGCTGCCCCGCCGTTGCATCGGGCCAGTTCTGGGCCATAACATTGGCACATTACAAAGTGGGGAGAAAGCACTCCGCCACCACCACACAACGCAACGCAACACAACACAACACAAGACAACACACCATTCAACACATTCACTTTTCTCTCGAAACGAATCGCAAAACCAATTCCAATAAGCAAATCCCTGACAGAATAGAAGGTGGTCTGCTCTCCCAAAAGAATGCCCAATGCCAGGGTTTGTCTGCTGTTCGTTTTTCTGTTTTTGTTGTTTTGTTTTTCTGGGTAGTATGGTATTGGGATGCCTTGTTTGACTGTAAAACATGCTAATCTGATTTCGTGTTATGTGTTGAGAGTTGGGGTCGCTGTCGGTGCTTTGGCTGGGAGAGTCTGGTCTGTCTGGACCTCTCTGGGTACAAAATAAATTGTGTCTACGTTTAGGTTTTCATAAAGCACTGGCACTGGCACTGGCACTGGCTCTCGGTCGCTATGGCTCTCTGTGGCTGCTGCCTGCCTTCCCTCGGATTAATCGACAAATAAAAATCACATAAAATAAATTAAAAATTATGAGTTTCAAGTTTCAACAGCCTGGTGGATTGTCAGCAGATTTGGTTTGATTTTAAATCACAGAAAGGGGGGGGGGACGAGGTTTAGAGCGAGGCAGAGAGCGGTAGAGGGACGACACTGTGAAATTTATGCAGACAATGTGCAATATTAAAAAGCAATAAACATTTATTTAACAGCGACCAACACATTCCGTACAGGGGGATGATCATCATCAGGTGTGAGATGATCAGTGGGGGAAATCAGAGGGGAAAAGATGATAGAATAGAATGTAGCTAAAGCTCTGCGTCTAAAGATCTGTCTCACTCACCCACTCTCTCTCACTATCTGCTCTTCTCTAACATTAACCGATGTGGGTCATCCTTTCAATCTGCAGTCTTTTATTGAACAGGGAAATGCGTCATGCACAGCTCTGCTCTGCATCGATGGAACCTGTTGAATGTCTGCGTTTAAATTTATTTCAAATGTCTCTTGCTGATTTGTGGGATCGTTTAATTTGGCAAAAGAGTTGAAATATAACGAAACAAATCACTTGCCTTTGATTGTTGCTGAGAGGGTTGCTTGATTAGTTTTTGATGTCAATTAAGGTCTGAAGAGCCTTGGGGAATCATTTACAGAGATTTTCAGCAAATGGATTTATTTTCTACATTTTAACAATACTTTGGGATAATTTATTATTTATTAATTAATTTATTATTTAATTATCAATATCGATTTAATCTTTAAAATAATATTCTAAAATAATCTAAATAGTCTTCCGAAAATTGCACTTTCTACACATTCGCCGAATCTGTGAGTAAACCTCTCGCTCAAGATCCGTTTAAATTTCTTTATTCACTGATGAATATATCTACCATATTTCTTTTTGTTTTGTTTTTTTGTTGAAGGTATTGCATAATTTGAGCAAAATAAAACTCTCTAGAGCAGGCGACTGACTACCATACATTTAAGCTGACAATTAGCCAAACGATTAAGTGAAAGTGTTATAAACTAAATACGTACGAGAGCACAGGTCTAAAAATATTCACAAAAATAAACTCCACGAAAATGTTCTTTAAATATTCCGGTATTAACAATATTCAATAATTGTTCTCTTTGTCAAGCAATTTGTGCGCAAGTTATTGATGGAGGAAGCAGCCAGCAACCGAATATTGATGAGTGTTTTTTTTTTGGTGTGCGATTAATTTATTTTAATTAGTTGTTGGATTTAAGCTCGCAAATAAAGTTCCCCCATTTCGATGGAAAAATGCAACAAGTGTTTATTGGGGATACAAAAATAGCCATACATAGATAAATAGCAGAAAAAAAAAAAAACGAACCACCAGTCATCATCCACAATAAGTAGTGTGGACGCTGTGTGGATGTTGATTTCTGTGATTAATTATGGCCATGTTCTGATGTTCTGATGCCCTGTTCTGTTTGTTGTTTGGTTGTTAACCTTAACAAACAAAAATAGCAAGTAGAATTTTTAATTTTTCATTCCGCGATGATGCAATGATATGGCGATGGCTTATTATTAAAATTAAAATTAATTTAAAGGCACGTTTACTCCAGTTTCGGCAGCTACGCCACAGCAGTTAAGAGCCCAAACTGCCATTAAGACCAGGTCCAAAACGTGGTCTTCTTTTTTTGTGTGTTTTTTTTTTCGGTAACGTGAAAAAAATTATGATAATTGCCCGCTCAACGACCTTGGCGCTACGTACTCGCGAATACAAATTTGCACATCTATTCAGTCCTCTACCCCCACTCTTTCGTGTGCACTCTCTCCCCCCCTTGCAATTATAAAATAAAACGCAGGGGCCACAGGCAAAAACATAATTTAATTAAAATGAAATCATGCACAAAAGCACACAAAAGCAATTGCCTCGCTTTTGTTCAGGCCACAAATTGTTCTAGTTTTGGTTTGTTTTTTTATACGTTTTTCGTTTATTTTTTATACGAATTCATGACTTGAGTCGTTCGTTGGATGGTTTGTTGTGGCATGGCCTCCCTCCCTCTGTGTGTTGTGTGTTGGTGTTGCCTTGTGGCATCATCAGATGATCTTCATTCAAACGCTGCAGCTGTACGAATGCTCTAACAGAGCTTTAACAGAGCGTGTCTGGTGCAGAAGTGCATCCGTACAGCTGTTAACAGAGTGGCTTACAGTGGCTACAGTTAACATGAACTGTGAACTGTGCATGAAATATTTGGGGCTTAAATACCAAAACATAATGAAATTAAATAGAATTCACTTTGATTATACATAAATGTACGCTTTTTTTATGAGAAAAGAAAGAAGAGTCTGTAGATCATAGATTTGAATGCTCAAAGATCTAGTACGTCCAGAAAAAAGGACCACATATAATAAAAATATGAAATAAATATAATTCATATATTTATGATATATGTATATTTAATCTAAATACATTTAAAATACATTTATTTTAAATATAAAATATATTTATTGTTTTCTTTGTTTTTACAATTTCTGCTGACGTAGCAAATCTTGATATACATTTTTTAAATTTAAGTGTTATTGTCCAAATTTAGGTTCTTTTTTTCTGGACTTACTAGATCGTTGAGCATTAAAATCTATGATCTAAAGACTCTTCTTTCAATGACTCAATGCCTGACTCCACACTAGACGACTTTTCTCTCATGAAAAATTAGTACGATCTACTTCCAAAAAGGCAGCTGCAACAAAGCCAGCCGAGAGATGGCCAATCAGATGCGATGAGTCATGGAGTCAATGGCAAAAATGCAAACAAACTCGTTTATTCCCCCGTGTGGATGTGCAGATCTATGGACGCCGAACAGAATTTGTCAAAATTGTTATATCGCATGTGTGGGATATGATTTTGTTGTTGTCTGTCTATCTGTCTGACTGTCTGTCAGAAATACTTGAGGCATTCACGTTTTTTCAGCTGCACACGCATTTCTTTTGCTTTCCCTGGCATT